CACATATCTATTTACAAAGTAGAAGACTTTTATTCATCAAATTTATGGATATTTATTTTGGAGCTTGTATTTAAACTTGTAATTTGAAGGTGAATTTTAAATCCTGTAAATCACTAAATCAATCTTAGTCTTATATTCACGGAGTTTAAATTTTTTTTTATACGTACACAAAAAAAAAAATCACCTTATATATACACTAGACATCGGAGCCCGTGCTAGCACGGGCCCAATATGTATCATTTTTTGTTTCAATTTATGTGACAAAGACAAAATTAAAGAGTTAATCAAACTTTAATATTAATTTAAAATAGTTTAAATTTTTAATTATTGTTAACTATGGTAAAAAATTTTTTATGTCTTTTAACATTCTAAATTGCTAATTATTGTTGTATGATTTGTAATATCTTTTACGCAATTTTGAAGTAATAAAGGTTATTTCTTCTTTCTCAATTTACGTGGTACTAATAAAATTTTGAGATTCAATCAATTTTTTTTGTCTTTAAAATATTCTATTGTTAATTACTGTAAATTATTGTACTTTCTAAGTAATTTTCAAATAATATATATTATTTCATTTGTCCAATTTATGTGTCACCAATAAAATTTGAAGAGTTAATCAGATATTTTACATATTTTTATATCTTTTGAATATTTAAGTAAATAATTATTGTGATTTATAATATTTTATACAATTATTTTAAAAAAATTAAACAACAAACAAAACGAATTCATCATAGGAAAATTACCAAAGCATCCTTGAATACATCAATAATGGGTCCCACTTTTTTTAAAAAAAAATATGCATATTGGGAGGATATTTTTGTCCAAAGTGGAAATAGAATAAGTATAAAGAATTAAAGTCGTTTAAAATTTTAAATTGTTAATTCTTATTGTATGATTTGTAATACTTTTACGCCATTTTCAAATAATAGAGGTCATTTCTTCTTTCTCAATTTATGTAGTACTAAAATTTTTTTGAGATTCAATCAATTTTTTTTGTCTTTGAAATATTTATAGTTGTTAATTACTGTAATTTACAGTACTTTCTAAGAAATTTTCAAATAATATATATTATTTCATTTGTCCCAATTTATGTGTCACCGATAAAATTTGAAGAGTCAATCAGATCTTTTATATATTTTTATATCTTTTAAATATTTAAATAATTAATTATCGTGATTCATAATATTTTATACAATTATTTAGTATAGTAAAATAAATTTAAAAGAAACAAACAAAACAAATTCATCATAGGAAATTACCAAAACATCCTTCAATACATCAATAATGAGTCCGACTTTTTGTTTTTAAGAAATTGCACATTCGAAGAATATTTTTGTCCAAAGTGGAAATATTGTGTAAAAAATGTGTATTTATTGTGATTTTGAATGTTTTGTGGGATAATAGGACGCACGCAAAGTTAAGGTATCTTTTTGAAAATCTGGAACAACTTCAAGTATCAGTTAATGTTTTTTCTCAAAATCTAATTTACTTTCGTAAACTATGTGTCAGATCAAAATCAGATTAACAAATTCAAAAGGAATGAGTAATAAATAGCTCATACAATAACATATTTATTATTTAACTAAATAATAAATATGTAACTAAAAATCTTGTTAGCTTTTGGTTAAAAGCTAACAAGATAGTTAGAATGATAGTTGCATTGTGAAAATCTTGTTAGCTTTTGGTTGAAAGCTAACAAGATAGTTAGAATGATAGTTGCATTATTATATATATATATATATATATATATATATATATATATATATAAACTTGAGGGGGCATTCCCCACTTGAATAAGTATGGTCTAACAAAATGGGCACACATAGGAGTAACTCCAAAAAAAAGTGGGGTCGGGGAGGTGGGGGACTGTGCTCCTTTCCTTGAGTTTGTGTCACATTAGGCTCAATTAAGATAAATATGTTTCTTATTGAGATTTTTTTTCATACCCTCATATCTTTAGTCCTTCCTTTTGTTTTATAAAAAAATCCCCAAGAGTGCCATTTTAATTTTTATATCATGAGTACCATGTGTTTGATACTTTTACAGTGAGAACATGAAACCATGAAGTCAAAGACTCATCCATAAATAAACACAAAATTGAAGCTTTTATTAAATTTGCTTCATCAGTAAACTACAAGAAAGTTTAGTTCCTTTACCTTACTAGTTTGACTGACCCCATTGTTACTAAAATAAATTCAAGATTTTGAAAGAAGTCTGTCAAGTATCAAAAAATGGAGAAAAAAAATTTCAAAATATTTCTTGGTTTTGTATTGATATTACTAGTTAGCAGAATTTGTATCTGTTGTGCTTCAGAGAGTGATGTTTATTGCTTGAAATCAATAAAAGAATCATTACATGACCCTTTCAATTCTTTAAACTCTTGGAATTTCACCCAAAAATCCATCTGTCGTTTTGAGGGAATTGACTGCTGGCAATCTGATGAGAATAAGGTAATGAGCATCACACTTTCAAACTTTGGATTAATAGGTGAGTTTCCTCGTGGCATTCGAAATTGTACAAGCTTGACAGGTCTAAATCTTTCTGGTAATCATTTGTATGGAACCATCCCTTCTGATATAGCAGTGATTCTTCAATATGTTACAGTACTTGATCTCTCAAATAACACGTTTTCGGGCAATATAACACCTGATATAGGTAATTGTCAATACATTAATGTTTTAAAGTTGGACTATAATGATTTAGAAGGTGAAATTCCAAGTAGAATAGGCTATTTGCCTCGCCTTAAGACGTTCAGCATAGCTAACAATTACTTGACTGGGCCAGTGCCATTGTTTTTTAGCAAGAATATCACGGCTGAGAGTTTTGGAAACAATCCAGAGCTTTGTGGGAAGCCCTTGAAAGGATGTGAGGATTCTTGGATATGGAAACATGTAGATCGTGCTTCGTTCATCAAAGCGTTTGTGATTGGTTGGGTACTTTTGTTTACAATGGTTTTAGTCCTTTGCTTATTTAAATTTCCTACCAAGGCTATCAACAAGATAGTCTCATTAAACATATGGAAGCTAAGGAAAAAAAAACATTTAACTTCAGGAAGTGAAGAGGAATTAAGCAGCCAACATAAGGTAAAGATCTTGCTAAATTTGCTGCACTGCTTATAGTCTGCAAAGTTAACCTTTTCTTCTGTAGTTCCAATTTTGTGATTAGTCCTTGCTAGTCCATTATGTTATAAATTCTTTATTCGATCGATGATCAAATATGATAGCAATAAGGTTCTCAAGTTTCTTTCCTGTTTTAACTTCTGTGTATATTCAAATGATTCAACTTACTGTTTTATTTACAGATATTAAAGCTGGAGAAGTTTGTTACGAGAATGAGCTACACGGAGCTTGAAAACGCGACTTCTGGTTTTAGTGAAGACTATCTAGTAGGAAATGGAATGTTGGGCAAAGTGTACAAGGCAATTCTTCCAAATGGCTGGATACTTGCCATCAAGAAGCTCAATGACTGGGAGAATTTGGAGGACGAGTTTGTCTCGGAGATTACAACTCTTGGTGGTCTGAGGCATAGGAATCTATTGCCTCTAATAGGTTTCTGCGCCGAAAAGCAAGAAAGGCTTCTTGTTTACAAATACATGACTAATGGTAGTCTTGATGAATGGCTGCACTCGAATGAAGTTAAGGCGAAAATTTTGGATTTCCCTCGGAGAGCTAAAATTGCACTTGGGATAGCAAAAGGCCTGGCTTGGCTTCATCATGGTTACGAATTGCACGTTACACATGGAAGCATAAGCACACGATGTATTTTGCTAGATCAAAATCTTGAACCAAAAATATCCAACTTTTGGGAAGCAAAATTTTGGAGTAAGAATGATTCTGCATTAAGTTGGAGTCTTTTCCCAGTAGCTGAATATTCTGGTTTAGGCTCTTACAAGCAAGACATCTACTGTTTTGGTGTTGTGCTTCTCGAGCTGGTAACAGGGAAGGAACCACATGAATTGACCAGCTCAAGAAATCTATTCGATCACTCGCCGTGTCTACTTGATGCAGATAGAGATTTGCTTGGGAAAGGAGCTGATGATTTGATCCTCCAATTTCTTGAATTGGCTTGTGACTGTGTGAAGTTCTTTCCTAATGAAAGGCCAACAATGCTGGAAGTGTATGACAGACTCAAGAATATTTCTCAAGGTCGAAGGGACTGGATACAAAAGATATCAAGTAAATATGACTAGTGCTATTGTTTTTATGGTTACTGACTCAAGAATATTTCTCAAGGTCGAAGGGACTGGATACAAAAGATATCAAGTAAATATGACTAGTGCTATTGTTTTTATGGTTACTGAGAAAAACAAATTAGGAATACACTATATTAAAGCATTAAATCCGTGCCTCGAGTCTGTATGCTGATAGTTTCTGTTGTAACTGTAATATATATGAATCTGTTCAAGTCATCATCTTGCAGTTTCTTTATTTAGATAGCTTTTATTTGCATATTGTAAAGAAGAGAAGTTGACTATGAATCTGTATACTAATAGAACAAATCAACCAGTTTGAAAAAAGAATATATACTTACAAATAAGAACAAATCAATTGTATTTAGTAGTTGACTTCAGTGTGCTATACAAGTAAGGTTGAACCAGTAACTCAAAATCTTATAAATTCTGTTTATTCTTACTATAGCAACAACAACATACTCAGTGTAATCCACAAGTGGGGTTTGGGGAGGGGTAGGATGTAAGCAGACCTTACCTCTACCTTTGCCGGGCAGAGAGACTGTTTCCGATAGACCTTCGTCTAGAAAAAACAGGAAAATTTCTGTTTAATGAAATTCTCTTGTTTTATAATCCCCAAGAGTGCTGCCCATTCTTATTTGTCTATTCACTTATCCCAACTTCCATATGTTTGAAACTTCTATGCTGAGAAAATCAAACCATGAATTCAAGAATCATCAATAAACAGAGACAAAAATTGAAGCTTTGACATTGCTACAATATGTGTAAATTCTAAAGCATAATCATTCTTCAGGAAGTCTCTCAAGATATGGAGAAAACCAACTTCAGCAAAAGACCTTTCTTTTTCATCTGCACATTTCTTGGCTTTCTATTGATATTACTTAGCAGAATTTCTGTCTGCAGTGCTTCAGAGAGTGATTTTTATTGCTTGAAATCGATAAGAGATTCATTACAAGATCCTTTTGATTCTTTGGGCTCTTGGGATTTCAGCAATGCTACCGAAGGCTTCGTCTGCCATTTCATGGGAATTGAATGCTGGAATAGTGATGAGAATAAGGTAATGAAGATCATACTTTCAAACTCAGGACTAATAGGTGAGTTTCCGCGAGGCATTCAAAATTGTACAAGCTTGACAGATTTACAGCTTTCTGGCAACAACTTGTATGGAACCATCCCTTCTGATATTTCAATGATAGTTAAATATGTTACAACACTTGATCTCTCAAATAACACATTTTCTGGCAATATACCACCAGATTTAGCTAATTGTGCATACATTAATTTTCTAATGTTGGGCAATAATAATCTAGAAGGTGAAATTCCAACCAGAATTGGCTCTTTGCCTCGCCTAATGACGTTCAGTGTAGCCAACAATCACTTGACTGGACCAGTGCCATCATTTGTTAGCGAACGAATCACAGCTAAAAGTTTTGCAAACAATCCAGAGCTTTGTGGGAAGCCCTTGAAAGAATGTGAGGATTCTGAGGATTCTTGGATATGGGAACATATCGATCGTGCTTCATTTATCGAAGCATTTGTGTTTGGTTGGGTATTTTTATTTACATTATTTTTAGTCCTTTGCTTATATAAATTTCCAACCAAGGCTATCAACAAGATATTTTCACCAAACATATGGAAACTGAGGTCAAAGGAACATTATAGTCCAGGAAGTGATCCACCAGGTGAAGAGGAATTAAGCAGACACCAGAAGGTAAAGATTTTGCTAACTTTCCAGCTTTTCCCCTGTATTGTTAAGCTAAATATTTTTCTGTAGTTCTAGTTTAGTTATTAGTCCTTACAAATCCATCATGTCGTATAATCTTGACTAGAGAACTGAATGGAGGTACAAATTCATTTGCCATTTTTTTTTACCTACAGAGCTCACGATTGAGCCCTAATACCAAATGAGAATGTTGTGGTGGATGTGTGGGCATACTAGAAGAGATTAGATTACAAATGAAGATATCCAGGTCAGGGTAGGAGTGGCCTCGGTGGAGGAAAAGATGCGGGAAGTGAGATTGGGATGGTTGGGGCATGTGAAGAGGAGATGCAGGGATGCCTAATGTGGAGGTGTGAGAGGTTGGCTATGAATGGTTGCACAAGAGGTAGAGGTAGGTCGAAAAAGTATTGGGGAGAAGTGATTAGATAGGCCATGACGCAATTGCAACTTACCAAGGACATGACCTTAGATAGGAGGTTGTGGAGGACACGGGTAGCCTTGCTTATCCTTCCATACTAGCAGTCGTAGTATTTCTTCTGTAGTGTCTTGTCTTTCGGTTTCTGTTACTATCTACTGTCTCTTGCACTTTGATTATCGCACTATTTTGTTGTAGTTACTATTCCCTTTTTTTTCAGAAGCTTTGTCATGCTTTCTATAGCATTTTTCCATGATTTCTTCACCTGTGTTATTTCTTTTTCGATCTACTTTGGTATGTTTTTCCTTGAGACGAGGGTCTATCAGAAATAACCTCTCTACCTTCCAAGGTAGGGGTAAGGTCTCCGTACACTCTACCCTTCCCAGACACTATTTGTGGAGTTACATTGTATGTGTTGTTGATGATTGATGAGCATACATGATAGCAATAAGCTTCTCAAATTTCTGTTCTGTGTGTGCTCCAATGATAACTTGCTGTTTTACAGATATTAAAGTTGGAGAAGTTTGTTACAAGAATGAGCTTCACCGAGCTGGCAAACGCAACTTCTGATTTTGGTGAAGATTATTTGGTAGGTAATGGAATGCTGGGCAAAGTGTACAAAGCTATTCTACCAAATGACTGGACACTTGCAATCAAGAAGCTGAATGACTGGGAGAATTTGGAGGACGAGTTTCTCTCGGAGATTACAACTCTTGGTGGTCTGAGGCATCGGAACCTATTGCCTCTAATAGGTTTCTGTGTTGAAAGGGAAAAAAAACTTCTCGTTTACAAATACATGTTTAATGGAAGTCTTCATGAATGGCTGCACTCGAACGAAGACAAGGCCAAGATTTTAGACTTCCGTCTTAGAGTTAAAATTGCACTTGGGATAGCAAAAGGTCTAGCTTGGCTTCATCATGGTTACAAATTGCACGTTACACACGGAAGCATAAGCACGCGATGTATCTTGCTAGATCAAAATTTTGATCCCAAAATATCCAACTTTTGGGAAGCAAAAATTTGGAGTAAGAATGATGCTGCATTAAGTTGGAGTCTTTTCCCAGTAGCTGAATATTCATGTTTAGGTTCTTACAAGAAAGACATCTACTGCTTTGGCGTCCTGCTTCTCGAGCTGGTTACAGGGAAGGAACCGCATGAATTGACAAGCTCGAGAAATCTGTTTGATCACTCGCCTTGTCTACTTGATGCAGATAAAGATTTGCTTGGGAAAGGAATCAACGATTTGATCCTCGAATTTCTAGAGTTAGCTTGTGACTGTGTGAAGTTCTTACCTAATGAAAGGCCAACAATGCTGGAAGTTTATGACAAACTCAAGACAATTTCTCAAGGTCGAAACGACGACTAGGTATAGAAAACTCTCTTATCAACTGGCATTTGAAGTCTATAGAACTAGTACTATTGTTTATAATTTACAGTATTATTGGAAAGTTGTATTTATTTGATTGCATTTGTGGTTGTCTTAAAGAATCTACTGATGCTGCATTGACTAATTAGTTAACATTTTGTAGTCATTTGTCACTAAAATTGGCCTCAAGTAGTTCCTCAGAACATCAGCATTTTGTCAACTGTAAATAGCACTTTTCAAACACTATAACCATGATATTCAAAACCAACTTCAATCCCCGCACCATTAACTAGAGGTCTTGAGTTCGAGCCCCTAGGAATGGAAAAAACCTTGTTGAGAGTGCCTCCCTTTTAAATAGGTCCTGCAATGCGTGAATCCGACACTTGATCAGTAATATCAAATATGTATAGATGCTAACTACATTGAGTCTAGTCAGTAAGGAAGTCTAGTTAATTCTGACACTTGAGAAAGATTGTGTGGCCCTGCACATATATGTGTGTTTCGATAACATTTGGGTGATAGTTCAGATAAAAAACTCGCATGAAACTCGAAAAAATCGAAATGCTTTAAGTGTGTTTATATTTATAGTAATAAGGAAAACTAGACAACGATCAACTACCTACTTATTAACCTTCTTATTAACCTTCTACCATATTCCTCAATATCCATTTCATATCCTCTTATTTAGAGTTATATACATTGTTTAAACATATAATCAAATGTCATCTCTAGTATAAATCTCCATATATAATAAGTTTTCTATGACACGAATCTGAATTAATTGAGATTATGATTTCGGAACACCAAATGATTACAAAAATAATTAAATGATATGTAGCAAATGATCATGCCATATTTATATGGTAACTTTTGTACTAAAAAGGTGCACATTTTTTGTGTGCCGTGTCTCCTCTTTTTGTTAAGCTTAAGCAACTTGAAATTACTTTATATTACTTGACGTGTTCTTTTTTTTGTTTCTCCCAAATGTAACTTGACGTATTTTAATCTCTATTTTCAATAATCATTAAACTTGTAGGTCAAGGAAAACATTATTTGTATTTTGTGTCGATTAGACTTGTATATTTTTTTTAAAAAATAAAATAAAAATTAGACTTGTATATTAGAAAAATGTGTACTTGTTTTTATGTGTTTCATAATGGTGTAATTAATACGATGTAAATACACATAACTCAAATTTAAAAAGAAACTTTTGGTAAATTCCATCTTTTTTAAATTAAAAAAAAAAAGTTGATCAGGCATGTTTTATCCTTTACGACATTTTTCGATGCGAATCTAAATTAGTCAAGCCGAAAAATTTAAAAAAATAAAATAAAAAATCCTAGTATGTTTATTACATGATGGTGCAGCTCCCCTCCCCCCCCCCCAACCCAAACCCAACACCACGACGATGCACATACTCAGCCGTTATTTTTTCACAAACAGTGATAATGTCGTCAACTTCTCTTTTGGACAAACAAGAAAATTGTGAGGAAAACATATAGGAATAACATATTATTTTATAATATATTTTTTTTAAAAAAATATGTAAACAATCGATTGAACTATTAAGATTCGCAGTAACATGTTTGGAATTATTATTTTTTCTCATTTTATCTAGCTCAAAATTTGAACTTTTTGTAGTTTCCTTTTATGTTTTGATGATTATTATCAATAAAAAGGACCAAATAGGTATGGATATTTTTATTTAGAAAAACTTATAGTGTGTTTGGCTAAATTTTAATTATTTGTTTAAAAAAAAAGATTTTTAATCATATACTCTGTTCTTTTCGTATGGCACAATTCGAATTTGGAGAGTCAAATTTTCTTACATTTGATTATGAATTCTTATGTATAATCTCTAAGTTTATTAAATAAAATTTATATATTTGAAAACTACATAAAAAGTACTACAAATCACAATAATTAACAATTCAAAATATTTAAAAGACATAAAAGAAAAACTTGTTTGGCTCTCGAAATAAAAAAGACACCACGTTAATTTTCAATACTAAAAATTAATAATTTCTGTTTGATCAATGTTTCCAAAAGTGTTTTTGCGGAAAAAATAACTTCTACTACTCAAAAAATATTCACAAAAACTTAGTCAAACATCTTAATTTTCTAAAATAAGCATATTTTTTAAAAGATAAATAAAAATAAACAGTGTATTAATTCCAAAGCTAAATGGTTTTCCTATAATTGTGTAAACCTGTCGTGGCCATGTAGCACTATAAAATAGGATATAAATTGTTCATGCCTAAAAAGTCAATTAACTGAATTAATAAAGCTTAATAAAGAACCGTTTTATATGAAAAAAGAAGCTTTATATATATATTCTTCTCTTTTTCTTGAACAAGTTCACGTTTAATTTTTCATAACCAACTTTCACTTTCTCTCATATAAAAAAATCATTTCGTATTAAATTGTTTGTCGTATAATATATACGTTCCTTAAAAAAATATTAAAATGAAATAAAATGAAAAATAATTAATTTTATCTCAAACTTTTAAAAATGAAAAAATATTTGAGACAACTGTTATTAAAAATCATGACAGATAATTTAAGACGGGGAATATTTTTTTCTGTTTAATAAATCGAAAAAGAAAAAAACAGTTCAGGTCAGTGACCCTATTATATGCCAAATTAAGCTCAAATTGTTTTCTTTAGCTTATTGCTAAAAAAAACTTTTAGTTAGTACAATTTTTTTTTTGGGCTAAACTCTTTAACATGTGACCAAAGAATATTTTTCTAATTGCCTTTTCTTTTTTCTCAAAAATTTCATTTTTTTAAAAGTAAGTTATACTGAAAAAAAAAACAGTTTTTCTTGCTTTTTTTATTCCATAAAAAGATCATTCTTTTATGAAGTGCAAAACTGAAGAAGTTATAAATTAAAGCTCATAACTCAGAAACTGCTCATAATTCTCAACTCTTGAAATCCTCTCTAATTTTTTTTAAATTTTTTTTAATTTTCATATTTCATCAAGAAACATGAAAATTAACAACCCCTTTTCTTCAATTCTTCTAATTTCATTTTTTTCAATTTTTTTCACAAAATCTATAGCTGATGTTATGTTTTTAAATGTTATAAACTTTGGTGCAAAATCAGATAGCAAAACAGACTCATCATATGCATTTTCATCTGCTTGGGACTTAGCTTGTAACTCTTCAAAATCATCAACAATTTATGTACCAAAAGGGAATTTTTTAGTTAAACAAGTATATTTTAAAGGAAAATGCAACAACAATGCCATAATTTTTCGTATCGATGGCACAATCGTAGCGCCTTTCGATTATAATGTGATTGGAAATGAAAAAAATTGGATTTTATTTCAAGGTGTTGATGGTGTTTCAATTCTTGGTGGTAATCTTGATGGACAAGGATCTGGTTTATGGACTTGCAAAAGTTCTAGCAAGAACTGCCCCAGAGGAGCTACGGTACGTTTAACTTATATATACTGACAGTATCACAGTGCGTACTTTGTTTTCCATGTTAGTACTAATCTCACTTTTTTTTTATGAATTGTTACATGTAGTTATCAACCCCATTAGATATAACTATTTTGTTTTGTTATCGAGGTTATGTGCTAGTTATGATCTTTTAGATAACCTGATAGTATAACTTACAAATTTCTTTCCTTTTTAGCAAGAACTGTTCTAGGGGCGAATTTTAACTTGTATATATTGACAACATAAAGAACGTAACTATATGTACTACTTTATCATGTTATAGCAAGTAACTTGCTGTTACGTATAGTTATCTTTTAGATAATTTGATATCGTGATATAGGTTGATCAAAGACTGTTCATTACTCAAAAAATTAGCAGTTTTCTTTATGAGTGTAACGTTTCCTTCAAATAAGGATAAATGTGTACTTTATGTGAATAACTGTCAAGACATTTTTTACATTGTTATTATGGTTTATTAATTTTTTTGTATTAATTAAGTTCTGTTTTTTGAACTAAATTTAAAAATTGTTATTGTTTTCTTGCTATTTTTTTGCAGACTCTGGGATTTTCTAACTCTAACAATGTATCGATAACGGGGCTAACTTTATTGAACAGCCAAATGTTTCATATTGTCATCAATGGTTGCAAAAATGTGAAATTGCAAGGTGTTAAGGTTTATGCCCCGGGGGAAAGCCCGAATACTGATGGAATTCATGTTCAATTATCGTCTGATATCTCAATCTTGAACACGATAATCAGTACTGGAGATGATTGCGTATCCATTGGTCCAGGAACTACTAATTTGTGGATCCAAAATGTCGCGTGTGGCCCTGGCCATGGAATCAGGTAATATTAGTGTTAAGGTCTGTCATATTGAAAATAAGACATGTAACCTGTTACAACAGATAAATGTTACATGATTTATGGGTAAACATCCTTAAAATGTAGGACCTGTGATCTTGAAAATAAGACATGCGACGTTCTACAACATGTAAAAATTATTCAAACTGATGATGTATATAACTTAAACTGCGTCTATTTTGTGCAGCATTGGAAGTTTAGCAAAGGATTTTGAAGAAGCAGGGGTGCAAAATGTGACAGTAAAATCAGTTATGTTTATGAACACACAAAATGGTGTGAGGATCAAAACATGGGGCAGACCAAGTACTGGATTTGTCAACAATGTACTTTTCCAGCACGTTACGATGATTGATGTACAAAATCCAATTGTTATCGATCAAAATTACTGTCCGTACAACAAAAATTGTCCAGGACAAGTCTCGGGTGTGAAAGTAAGTGATGTTACATATCAAGACATACATGGAAGCTCAGCAACACGAGTCGCGATGAAATTTGATTGCAGTAAGAGAAATCCATGTAAAGGAATAAAATTGGAAGATGTTAATCTGAGTTATAAGAATGAACCAGCTGCTGAAGCTTCATGTGCTAATGTTGCAGGAACAACTACTGGTGTAATTCAACCTACTAGTTGTTTGTAAGGGAAAATTCGATAAAAAATAGTTCATATTTTTTCGTATATTTAGCTTAGCTTTGTCATTTTCACCTTTCAAATTAGAAAAGTTTACTTGAGTCTATAGCGCGATTTGAAAGTGAAATTGTTGTCTCACTATTCATTTTAATAGAATGTCTTTCTACTTTCATCTATTTGAAGTTTCAATTACATACAATAGACTAAAACCAGAAGTCGCGATTTTCAGCTCCTTGAAGCTCATTGAACAAAACAGAACAAATAAAAATTACATTACATTCATTTTTTTTTCTACTTCTAGGTACATATAGCAAATTTAATATTCGTATATGAGTGTATTTCTTGGTTATATTCTGTAAATTTAATTACAAAATACATACTTAAATGTGTAATTTTTGTTGTTATTTATAAGCAGCTAGTAAGTTCTTTGAAACCAGAAGCTCTTCCTGCAGCATTAACACATGAAGCTTCAGCGCGACCATTTTTATAACTAAGATTTACATTGTCAAGTGTTATTCCAGAACATGGATTCGTTTTGCTACAATTTAATTTCACTGCAACTTCTGTAGCCGATGTTCCATGTATGTCTTGATACGTTACATCACTTATCTTCACACCCGAGCCCTAAAAAAACAGAAAGTATGTAATGTAATTAGCTAGATTAAGGTAAAGGAACACGCGATTCATCTTATTTTATCATAATTGTGATGAATTAGTACCTGATGAGGACAACTTTCATGATTAGGACAGTAGTTTTGGTCTATGATTATCGGGTTTTGAACGTTAGACATAACGATATGTTGAAACAGAACATGTCTAACAAAGCCACTACTAGGCCTTGCCCAAGTTTTTACCCTCACACCATTCTGTGTCCCCGTGAAGGTAACCGTCTTAACTGTCACATTTTGTACTCCTTGCTCTTTCGATGCCCAACCTAAGCTTCCAATACTACACAAAAATCGAGATTTGGACATACATTTTAGTCGAAAAAAGATGAATCAACATGAGGAATTAATCATTGATATGTTGTGTTTCAAACCTAATTCCATGGCCAGGGCCACAAGCAATGCCTTCAATCCATAAGTTAGAGTTTCCAGGGCCAATAGATATACAATCATCTCCAGTACCAATATTTGAGTTCATAATACTCACTCCTGAAGATGATTGTACATGAATTCCATCAGTATTAGGGCTATTTCCTGAAGCTAACACCTTCACTCCTTGTAGCTTCGCATTATTGCAACCATCTACTAAGATATGGAACATTTGGCTATTTTGTACAGTTACTCCGTTCATTACAATGTTGTTTGAGTTGTAAAAAGCTAGAGCCTGAAACCAAAATTTAACGTAAAATATGAAAACATTGTTCAACCAAATATTTTAAAAAACATTTTCAATGGAAAACATAACGCACTGTAGTTCCTTCGGGGCAAGTGTTTTTGGAGTTTTTGCAAGTCCAAAGACTAGCACCTTGACCATCAAAAATTCCACCATAGATAGAAACTCTGTTTACATTTTCAAATGTTATCCAATTTCCATCATTGCCAATCACATTATAATCAGAGGGAGCTAAAAGAGTTCCATCAATACGTATAGTAATAGCGTTACGTTTGCATGTTTGACCATTAAAATATGCCTTGCGAATCAAGTAAATTCCACGTGGCACATAAATAGTGGACGCGCTCGTAGAAGCGCATGCTGATCCCCATGCACTTAAAAATGCTTTTGATGAGTCTGTTTTGCCATTGGATTTTGCTCCATAATTTTGGACATTGTAAATGGTATTGGATGCTAATGATAAGTTGAAGAAAAAGAAGAAGAAAACTGCTAAGGGACTCATTTTGCTAAGGGAAAATTGGTACAAGATTTAAGAGGGATTTAAAGGATTAATTAATTGATCAAATGGTTAGGTGAATGGTGATGAGGAATTGGAGTAGTTTAGAGGGATATTTATAGAGGTAAAAAAAGAAGATGATATTTTTAATGAAAGTTAGGTTTTTCAAATAATATTTGGTCATGTTGAGATTTGGGGAAATGAGACTTTTAAATTACAATCCAATAATATAAGTAATCACACGAGTCCAAATCAACAAATTGTTGGCACCTTATTTTAGGGGGGTGGGAGGGGGTTAGTAGTAATCATCGTTTGATTGGGGAATAAGTTATTTATGAATTAATTATTTTGGGATTAGTTATATCAGAAATTTTTATTTCATTTTTATGTGGGATAAAAATAACGCTACGATCTCGAGATAAGGTATTTCTGAATTAGTTATTCCAGAAATTTTTATTTCACTCTCAATGTGGGATAAAAACAACACTGCGATCTCGAGATGAGTTATTTCTGAATTAATTATCTCGGGATTAGTTATCCCATAAATTTTTATGTCACTCTCAATGTGCCTAAAAATAAGACTATGATCTCGAGATAAGTTATTTCTAAATTAATTATATCGGAATTAGTTATTCCAGAAATTTTTATTTCACTCTCAATGTGGGATAAAAATAACACTACAATCCCAAAATAAGTTATCCTACAATTTTATCCTAACCAATATAGGATAAACTCATTCTAAAATTAATTCCAGAATATTCCTCACACCAAGTCTATCTGTCTTATTATAATGTTAGCAATGTATTGTTGTGTCCTGTTATATACGAACATTAAAATGATAGAAAAATAATGCCCATTCCCCTTTGCAACTTTCCACTTTCCATTTAAAATAAAAACTTGTCCAACAAACTTTTCAAGAGGGAAATAAAATAAAACTGATATTTTGATTCATAGAATTGTTGCTTCCATTTGATATATTAAAACTCTTATACCATTTTTGGCAATTCATTTAATTTGTAGTTATAAGCAAAACACTAACATCACATGTGTGAAATTAATTAGGATTGAATATTATTAGGAACTAATTAATCATATGGATTAGGGTAAAAAATTAGGTGGATATATACTAGGGATTACAAGTTTGAATGGATTAATTTATGTAAGTTGAATGTTGTTTATGGATATAGGAACTTATTCCTTGTGGATATTCATGTATTGTTTTGGTCTATAGTTGAATTTAAGCAAAAATACACATAGTTTAATTGACATATTAAAGTGTATGATCATATTACATAGAGAACACTTTTATTTTACTTAATTATATTTTAAACAAAATTCACATTTAATATGCTTTTTTTTAGCTTCTAGGTGAAAGTCATGTCACATGAAGCTTTGAATATAAGGTTTTGAAATTGGAAATACTGTTTGCATATTATCTACACAAAATATTTTAAAGAATTGACTACAACTTGTTGAAAACTTAGAACCCAAACAAAAGTGGACTTTAAGATCTCTCTTATATGCCAATTCTTCTAACTCTATGCGCCTAGCTAGTGGCTTCCAAATAGTCAAGTTGCCATACAAATTCACATCATATGTTTATCTAATTTCTTCATACTTTAATATATACTCCGTCAGTCTATTCATTTTTACTCCTCCACTATTTCAAAAATAAATTTTCACATATATTTATCACTTCTAATATATCAAAAATTAAATTAAAGACAATTATTCTTCTTCTGTTTTATCCTCAACATTAATTATTTATTCCTCAAATTTTTTCGAAGACATGGGACTAATACATTAATTAATATAAATATTATAATAAAATACACTGAGAGGTACAAAATTCAGAATGGATAAATAAAAATGAACGGAGCGAAAAAAGGCAAACCTAAAACATGGAATCCCAAAAATATGGATACGTGCATGCATGAAATATGCAGTAAACCCTTTTTCACGTCTCCTTTGTTATATACATGCAACTGTTACATGGACAAGATATATAATAGCTCAAAATATCAATTTTGTTTTATTCTCTTATTTAATTAATTAATTAATATTCTTAAGCCCCCCCCCCCCCCCTTCATTTTTTGTTGTAGCTATAGGCCAACTATTATTTCAGTTTTATGATATGTATATATGTGATGTGAATGAGCTATGCAACTTTACAATTAACAGCTCGCAATCGACTTCGGAATTTAATTTTTATAAATTTGATGAGTCTAAGATTTTACCTTAATTTATTTGATTTAGTGAGTTAAAATCAATTATTTATTCTGAATTAGTGAATATATATAAAATTTGAATCAAAGTTATTGAATTCGGATAAACACATTGTGACATGTTTAAAATCACAAAATAAAAGACATTTTAATATACTTAACATATCTTTAATTTATGATTACAAAATTTTTAAAATATTAATTCTTGAATTTTTTGAATTCTGTATTAAAAAAAATTAAAGAAATAAATTAAAATTAATGGAGGGAGTGTATATTATCTCTTACATATCATATGTATCAAAGATCACTTTGTTTGGGATTTTAATTATTATTTTTTATATAAGTAGTAAATGCTTCAACTTGTATAATAAAAAAAATGCTATCACTATCAACTGAAAATATCCTTGTGTTCAAAGATTGTGACATGACTGCTACCTGGAAATTGAAATGCATCTATAACTAATTATAAAGTTAAAATTAATGGAGGGAGTGTATATTATCTCTTACATATCATATGTATCAAAGATCACTTTGTTTGGGATTTTAATTATTATTTTTTATGTAAGTAGTAAATGCTTCAACTTGTATAATAAAAAAAATGCTATCACTATCAACTGAAAATATCCTTGTGTTCAAAGATTGTGACATGACTGCTACCTGGAAATTGAAATGCATCTATAACTAATTATAAAGGTAAATGGGTCCTTCATAACTAATTATACGGAAAAATTACCAAAATATATATTTTATTTTATTATAATCTCTAAAAAAAATACAATTATAAGAATTACAATTTTTTTTGGATACATCCCTATCACCTCTCAGATACATCTCTATCACCTCTCGGATACATCTCTCCTCTCGGATACGTCTGTGAGCTATTTATCCGCAATTTTTCTAGATAGCAATATATCACGACCTATGTATCCCCATGTTTGTTGATGTATCCAAAATCATTTAATTTTAGAGATTTTTATATAATTTGAAAAAGAGTAGAAATAAAATGTAATTAGCTCTTAACACTATAAGATTTATGTCATTTTTACTAATTATAAAGGTAAATGGGCCCTTCATATATTGACCCGCCCAAATTCAACTCATC